CAATTATTATCAAATAATGAACCTAAATTTCCCCCCAAAAAATGCCAAAAACCAATGCTGAACGTATAAGGGAATACAAAAATCATGTTTACTCGGCATTATTGTTACCTAGGAAACGTCATCTGTTTACTCAGCATTTTTGTTACCTAGGAAACGTTACATTACATTACTTTACATTACATTCATCTACCACAGACCAATGTTAAGCGTAACTAATTAAAGTTAAATAAGCAATGTCTTAATCAAACTTTACTCAGTTGTAAAGCATGTATAAAGGAAATATTTAGAATAAATCCAATATATAAACTTACTTTCCGTATAGACGTATTTACGTCAAATTTCAAGTATGACCTTGAAAACACGTAAGATTTTTTGGTACGATAACTTTTACTATTTCTCTTTTCCGTATACAAAGTTTGGCCTACTGCTAATGTCATCTTTATGGCTTTATTTACAAAGATTGTGGTAGTTTTCTTCCTTTCGCTTTCCAAGGAAACCTTTCACCACAGATACAAAAGATTTTCACGCTGCGAGTTCATTATTAGAAAGTCTGGCTTCAAAATTTTCATCGTCGAACAGTTTTCTGATCTGAGGCCCGACAAAAATTCCTTCTTTTAACTTGGCATCACTAAGATTCTGAAAAATTCCTTGTCCATTCCTTTACCAAAATTTTTGATAAGTCCTAGTTTAATATGAAGTGGTGGTAAGAGAACATTTTGTGGACCAACCAAAGGCTAGAACTTGATATTACTTTTTCCCGGAATTAATTCATTTCTTCGCGGCCTGTCTTTCGTTTCATAGTGCCTCTCTGTTGCTCTACTGTCACACATACAAAGGGAACAGCAGTATTTAGTGAATCCCCCTTGGAGACCGAGTAACAACGCTATGACCTTAAAATCAGCGCATAGCTGCCACCTGTGTTCCTCGTACTTCACACTTTTGATGATTCTTTCAATATTTTCATAGTATTGTTTTAGGCCTACAGAATGTGCTACTGGAACTGAAGCTTTTACATTCCCATTGTGTAACAGCACGGCCTTCAAGCTCAACTTCGACGAATCTATAAATAGTCGCCATTCTTTCGGATCATAAGTGACTCCTATTTCTTTCATAAAGCCATTAATGTCATTACAATAGCATGTGCTTAAACGTCAAAACTCGCACTTACAGTGAGGTTATGGGAGACTGCCAGTGTAGCCAACCTGCAAAAAATATCCCTATGGAATCAAGAAATTCACTCATTTGGTAGACGTAAGACAAAATAACACAAAAATGGTACGTGATGGAAACTTTTCTAGGCCATATTTGAATTTTGCGCAAAAAATACAATATGAAACATTTTCGTTTATTTTACCGAAACATTGTTGACCAGTGTATTCAGAGTTAGATGTCTTAAGAGTGGACAAGAGTTTTGGAAAACCAATGAGTATAGGTAGGATTTTGGGATTTTACAAAGGGAATAGCTAGGTTAATCGCCTTCGATACAGTAGCCGTGAGATTATTAACTGCAGCATCAACGCAAGACCAGTCCGAGTGTTCTAGGGTATAGTAAAGTAATAAATAGTGTCCTTTACCGTAATTGCTTCGAGGTGTAAGCGAAGTATATTGACAGTCCAGACTTAATTTAAGATTAAGGACACGAGGCGGATGATAGTGGTCAGGAGGCACCAACGAGTGAGTAGAAAGAGAAATGCTGAGATCGCTGATGTTTGTAAAGACAAGGTCGAGCAGAACACTGTTAAGAACGCAGTTGTGCTGATTAAGGCCAAGAAAGCAGGAGGTGGCGTAAAGAGAATTTCCTTTAATTTTATTATAGTAGTACGAATTAGAAGGAGTGCCTTTTAGCCACTCATAATTTGGGACATTAAAATCTCCTAATGTGACTACCCGATAGAGATGAGAATTTATATTTACTTCTAAAGAGTTTAAATAATTTTCATTTGCTTTTATATCACAATCCGTGACAAAGTAATGATTCCCTGTGATGATCTTCTTCATACGCATGTTGGGCCAATCTGGATTTCTCCAGCAGACCCTGTCTAAGGTTATATTTATGTTCTTTAATGCGTACCTCCAGAGGTCTGCTTGTTTCGCCATATACCGTCTACCGCAATCACAAGGGATCCCGTACACGCATTGCCTAATCTGTTTCTCGTCTCTGCTGGGTCTCGTCATCAATATACCACAAAGAGTGTGAGTGGATTTAAAAATAGTCCTGATATTATAGCGGTTACCAATTCTCCTAAAAAGAATTATTAGACACCTCTGACATGGGATAACCACCGTACCCAGAGGTGTTCTGTCAGAAGAAGGCTGGATGTTTTTCTCAGACTTGATAATGGAGTCAGTTACGTGCTGAGGATACCCATTAAGAGGTAGATCCTGTTTAATGATCCTGATTTCTATGTTGAAATTATTTTTCTCTTGGTATATGACGTTAGCTCTATTGACAAGACTGTGAACCACTCCTCTTTTCACGTGGAGTGGGTGATTATATTTAAAATTTAAATATCGTCCTGTGTGTGTGGGTTTCCTGTATACATCTGTGAGTAAACTAGAGCCATTTTTCATGACCAAAACATCCAGGAATGGAAGAGTATCATTATTTTCCACCTCCATGGTAAATTGTATTGTCGGTCTGAGACTATTAAGGTGGTGGAAAAATTTTGGCAACACTATGTCGTTCAAAACGTGGCTGGGACATTGGGGATGGGTTAGCTCGGCAAGTCCACGCGGTCTGTGCGCCCCACCGTCAGCGCTGCCAATAGTGACTGACACAACAGACACATGGTCGCCACCGCTACAATGGTTGTTTAACCTATCACATTCATCCATTAGCCTCTCACTCACTTGTCGGATTTAAAAATTCACTACAGAGGTATAAGATTATCTCTGAACTGAACTCCTGCTCGAATCACCTTGTTCCATAGGCTCTCTAACAGCTGACTGACTTGATGTGTCTAATTTTTCTTGTAGCTTCTCAAGTTGGGACGACATTTCACCTAATTTAGCATCGTTGTTTCTATTAACTATGTCTACTCTCTCTTGAATGAAATTTAGGTTCTCATTAGTAATTCTTTGTTCAAAACTTGAAAGTTCTGTAACCACCATGTTCCTAGTATTGCTTTCTATCTCCGATATGTGTGGTGTTAATAACCTCTCAGTCACATTCTCATATATGCTCTCGGTTACATTTGCTAATGTTTCATTTATACCCTTGCCTACATCAACTAATTTTGCATTGAAGATTTCTGTCTTCTGGGTTGTTCCGCTGTGTCAGTTGGGTGGGCATATTCATCGCCCTGATGACGGAGGCAGTATGACCTCTGAAACGTTGGTTAACATCGACCAGACTACACAGCGCAACAACCCAGAAGACAGAAATATTCATACTCACCGCTGCGAAAACCTCAAATCTTACATAATTTCTCATTCATTCCCTCAATTTGTTGCCGAGTATCTTGCCGCAGGGTAGCCACAGACTCCCCTTAACTTATTGATTTCATCTTTCATCTTTGTAAAATCCTGCTCGCTCAACTTATCTATTTAGGACCTGAACTGTTGCGACAACTGCTCTGTAATTTAATGAGGTCCTCTCGTAGCTTGTTTAACCGTCCTTCTCCCTTCCTTTCACTTTCTAAACTACTTTCCTCGTTTTTCTGTATGGCCTGCCATATCATGCTTAATAATTCTGCCGGTGGACCCTAACTGAATATTTGTTCCATGTTCCTACTGGGACTGGCTGTACTAGCAATTACAGTCACTTCTGAGGGGGGTCTCGCATTCCTTTTGCGCACCTTTTATAACCGTCCACTCTCTTCGGTTCTTGCTTCCGGGTCGCTCACGGGGATCGAATGTAGAATAAAGAAGTAATAATTGACTTGAACTCAAAGTCTACCTTTATTCCATCTCGGAGATGTGAATTTTGTTCCATGATCAGATAAAATGCACTCTGGTTTACCAAAACGTGGGATATAATCTTTAATTAGTTTCTTTAAGCTAATCTGAGTCGTAGCGGATTTAATAGGGTAATATAATTTGATATGTTTACTAAAGACATCAAGGCACACAAATACATATTTTACCCCACCTCTCCCTCGAGGCACAGGTCCAAAGAAGTCAACGTTCGTTAATTGTCCATTCCTCTTGGTTAGATGTGGCCAGTTTTCAATTTCAGAACTTTTGTTGGGATGCTTCACCTTCTGACAAGTCTCACAACATGCAAGAACTCGACGGACCTTCCTCCTTAGACCCTGATGTAGACCGATTCACTGATAAGTTTGAGACATTTGTCACTGCCGGCGTGACCTATTGACTGGTGGACAAAGTTGATTATTTTTCTTTCAAGGTTATGTGGTATACAAACTCTCCACAGGGATTCATTTTGCCAAACACTGCAATACAGCTAGTCATTGTGAAGTCTAAAACGACTATTTAAACGAACATCTCCAGTAGTAAGTTTTTGGTAAATTTCAAGTAACCGTCTATCTTGTTTTTGTAAGACAGCTAGTTTCCCAAGATCGTGTTTAATCGATTGATCAAAATTCAAATTTATAGTGGCAACCAATAGCGTATAGATTTGCTCTTGGATCAAACCTGCTGGGTTTTGACTCAAAGCGTCAGCAAAATGCTTTTTGCCCCCGGCAACATGGACGATTTCAATCTCATACTCTTGTAACTGCATTACCCAACGCGCAATTCGATTCGAAGTTATGACGCATCGATTGATAAATGATAAGGCTTTGTTGTCTGAATTTACGGTAATTTTACTACCATAAATAAAATTCCTAAACTTCTGTAAGGCAAATATGATTCCTAGTAACTCCTGTGAAAGGATTCTGAAATTTTTTCCTCCTCGTCTTCTTCAAAACACACTTGATCAGTAAATTTGAAATTTTTTAGATCATCAGTAGAATTGCCTTTATTAGACTTCGCCGTTGACATCACTTCGGCCTTAGTAACGTCACTTACTGGTTTTCCAAGCGCTCGTTATTGGAACGTAAGTCACGATTGTTTGTTTGCCTTTGGACATATGGTGATGCCTGCGGATCCACTTGAGACTCTTGATTTGATCTTGGGTTATTTCTTCCATTTCTATCTGTAGGGTTTAGACCTCGAGAATTTCAATCACGGAATGCTTCATGGTCATGTTGTCGATAAGGTTCCCATCTACGTTGATAATCATATTCGTTGTACTGTACTTGTTGTACTCGCGGCGGACTCCTCCTCCGTTTATTATCCTGACCTTGATAAGAGTGGTGGTTTCTGTTGTCGAAACGAGATCCTGGGTTCGTTGGGGTTGAAACGTAGTTTGATGACAATGATCATGATCCAACGCCTCTACTTCATTGAGAAATGTTACCGCATTCGGTATACTTTTTGGTTGCGCAATGACCCATGATCTTTGCACTTGAATTGGAAAGTGGTGTCTAAAAGCTTCTAACATTTCAGTGTCAGATATTTTTGCGTTTATCAGACTCAAGGGAGTATATCCACAGTAACTGGTCTAAAAAGTATTTTTATCCATTATACAGTGAGAGACTGTTGAAAGGAAAATTCCATACTATGTATGAAACATTACGGAATTATCCTGCAAAATTCTTTTCATATTTTCGCATGAGTACACAAAGTTTTGATGAACTTCTATTATTGCTGAGACCGAGTATAACATCAAGATACGGATATGCGTCTCGCTATTTCACCTGAAGAAGGACTGGCAGTGACACTAAGATAAGTGAATAAATAAAATCAACTTTACATTAATTATTTTTATTATTCTTATTTTCCTTATTGTTAAAGAAATAAACTTAGATACAATGTGAAATTATTCCTTGCTGTAGACAAATAACCTAGGCAAACAGCCTACTTACTATCTAAAGGTCTAATATGTCAGAATCACAAGAGAAATTGGAATAATATGTTTGGACTGTGTCATTTGAATTTGGAGAACTGAAATCAGGATGCAGTGGAGTAGATGATCAACGTTGTTGTATTTCTTCGTAGTTGACTGAGGTTGTTGCAGCATCTTGCTTCCAAATAAATGCATTCCTGTTGCTATTTAACCCAGATGGCCCAGCTGCATTCAACATGAAAGGGGGGGATTGTTCAGCCCTTAAGTTTTTAATCACGCACAAAATTCTTATCTTCGCCTAGATTTTTGAGCGAAGGAACTAAGGAAAGTGCGAGGTGGACATCTTCGTCGTCGGTATTTCTTGAACTCAAAATGTTAAGTAAAGATTCCTCGAATGGCTTCTGCTTGTTTCTTGTTTGTTGTTTCTTTTTTTCTTCCCTGGAAGATTGTGATCTGTTTTCAGCCTCGTTTACGTGATCGATTCCCTCTTCTTCATCGTCATCGTCATCGTCATCTGATATTACTTTTGTTTCCGTTGATCTATATTCCATTGTGGGAAGTAAAAATAACAATTTTTCAAAATATATATATTTCCTCCTCTTCGATGCTGATTGGCCGGACTTGGTCTGTTTCTGGGCGCGAAGCTCTCTGCTAAACATGATCTTAAATTCTGCCACTTCTTTTGTATGTCTCGACCTAGAAATAATGACAATATTTAATATAATATAAGTTTATAATACGATCCTAGTATTGTATGCTATGTTGTGTGATTTTATGTTACGTTGTACGTGTAGGTATATATGTTCTGTGATGTGATAGTATTTATATTGTATTATGACCATATTCTAGACTTGTCCCATTTTTTTCCAGATATTTGGTAACCGGCGCAAGCTTCAATTCGCTGTCCTTTGAGTTCTTAATTGCACCTTCAACGTTAAGGTTGATAATCCAATGCACCTGCGCCACCATTTGGAGTATTTTACAACCGCTCTATATACCAGGAAACATAAAAGAAGAAAATTGGATCAAAATAGCTGATCAATTCTACCAAAGAACCAAGTTTCCCAATGTAAGAGATGCCATTGATGGAAAGCATATTCGCATTATCCAACCTCCTGCAAGTGGATCAACTTTTTTCAATTATAAAAATATTTTTCACAGGTGTTAATGGCATGGACTGATGCAGATTACAAATTTATATTTATAGATGTCGGATCATACGGATCTTCAAGTGACTCAACCATTTTTAAGAATTCGAAAATGGGGAGAATGTTGGAACTGAATAAACTAAACATACCAACTGGAATGCCTTTGCCTGCTTATGAAGACGACCGATCGTTGCCGTTCTCTGTTATGGCAGACGAAGATTTTGGGTTATCAAAACACGTCCTGAGGCCATATGCAGAGAAAAAGTTGACAATGCTCAAAAGAATATATAATTATCGACATACAAAAGCTCACCGAATGGTGGAGTGCACATTTGGCATTTTAGCTAACAAATTGAGGGTTATGCACAGGCCATTAGATGTCAGCATCGGCTTCTGGGACTGCATAATTAAGGCATGTTGTGTACTTCATAATTTTGTTCGCTGTAAGGATGGCATACGTTTTGTTGTTACTGTATATGAATGTCCTCTTGAAAGTACTGTTGTTAATAACATACGAAATTGTGGAACCGATGTTAGGAGTTTCTTGTCGAAGTTTTTCATTTCACCTCAAGGATCAATACCAAAGCAATACGAAAAAATGTAATAGGCAGGTCGTGTGGAGACAATAAACATTTTACCAAGAATGACAGATTTGGTGCCATATAAGATGAAACAACATTTATTTTCGAATAAAATATTATGAAAATGCAATGAAACTCTTCATAATTATCAAGGAAATCGGTCTACACTATAAGTTAAACTTTAAATTGTTAAAATGTAATTGTTTAAATTAAATAAAAAACAAATTAACTAACCTGCTTCAGTTTTATTTTCGGGCGACAATTCGCTCCAACCTGGCACCACAACTGAACAAATCTCTTGCCAAAGTTCTCTTTTAACATTGATGTTTGCATAATCTTTTAATTTTTTGTCATAAAGAGCAGGGCGTCTTTCTACCTTTTCAATTAATTCACTTTCGCTCACTTCGTCGCATTCAGCCTCCCTTTTGCTACGGAGGGAACGGTTCGCCATTGTTAAGGGATTTGTTGCTGACTTTCTGCAGCAGCACTCAGATATAACAGGTCTCAAACCTTGTAGCCTTGGTGTCCCGTCTGTCAGCCGAGTGTCCTACACGCCCATGTGGTCGGTCGATGCGACGTTGCCACGCGTCTCGACATCCGAAGTTCGGGCCTTCTCCAACGTATCAAAGATCTCTCCTCGGAACGTACACACTCCGAATACAGGTCTGCCGGTGGCGAATTCTTCTCCTCGAAGTTCTGCGTTGCCGGGCTGCTTACTCTCCCACGTGCCTTGGGCGATGTATTCCTTCAGGTTATTTCACTTTCACCTTGCGGGTATGGTGACATCGACTTTTCCCTTCGATGTCCCACGTGGGGCGCCAAAACACTGTAACCGCCCTTCCACACACGACTCGTCTTTCTACTGATGTCGCCACGGATTCAAACACAGTAGCTTGCCCGGCTCTGATGCGGTTACAACTTTTCACACTTCGGTGCACGGAAGGAGTTAAAGGTTTTCTCGGGATACTTTGATATTGGGTTAGTCGGTGGGCAAAGATCTCCGACTCTCAGGGAATATACAGGGGAGGCCTTAATTGGAGCTGCGCTCGCGTGAGGGTAGCGAAGTCGTTGAGCTGGTGCAATTGGTAACGACACAGTTGTTGTTGTTGTTATTGAAATCACTCAATTTATTCACGAATTTAAACACACTGATGCAAAAGACAATTGTGTTGATATTTAGGCAGTGCAATATATCGGCTGTTTATGTACTGAAACTTTGCGAACAGAACTTGCACGACTTGAAGACCGAAACCTTGAGAGCCAAGAGAGCAACAACACAAGCACGCTATAAATACCATTGAGTGCGACGTCCTTGTAAGATTTAACGCCCGCCTCAGCAGCACAGGTCGAAGTAGAGTTGTCTGATGGCACAGCAACTTTGCGCGACGGAACGGTTGAAAATCCTTGTCTTGTTGATTTAGAACTATCCGCAGAGTCAGAGACTCCGGCAGTAATGCTACTCAAATGCTGCTTCAAATATTCGTTGTCTTTGCACAGCTGCTGCAATACTCAGAAAGTTTGAGGACCAACTGCACCAAGTTTTCCACGAGATTATGCATGCTAACTCCATTGAGCCGCACCATCTCCAGCTTACCAACGAGAGTCAGAATCCCCAGCGTCTGGCAGAATCGGTTCCTTTTCAGGAGACACTGCCTTCTTAACAAGCTCTGAAGCAGAGGCGAAACGCAAGTTCTGTGGAGGTGTATATTCACCTCTAATACGGCGAAGCGCCTTGACACACTTTGCACACTTGTAGGTGGAAACACCATCATACAAAAAAAATAGTATTCGACCTCACTAATTTTCAAGCAAGTCAAATAAAACGAGAAGCACATGGCCCACGACATCTAATATAATTCTGATTTCCGTAGAAAGCCTTGTTGCACACCTCGCAAATATCCCTGCTAGCCGTCATTGCGCCGGCAGGCAGCAGATTTCTTTACAGCCCTCTCAGCGGCTGGTCAACGCTCTCCGTTGCAATGTACCGGTGAATACCGTGGCACTGCTAGGCGCACTGCCATCAACGCGTGCGTCATGGCGCGAATTTTAAATGTACATTCGAATTTTGAGCAGTTTTTTTCACACCCTTGCACGACGTATCAGCAACTGAAATTTTGTGTATAAACATTACTAGATGGGTTCTGTCTTCTCTTCTTAGGTTGTCAACCTTGCGGTTGGTTGGCAGCAGCTCTCCACCGGTTCTTGTCCTGTGCTAATCTCTTCAGCTCCACATACGAATGTCAGCCCAGCTCCTCGAGCTGTCCTCTATACGAGGGGCAGTCAAAAAGTTCCCGGAATTGTGGTATAGCACTGTAATGGTAGGACATATGGCAACGCTTACCTAATCACCTTCAAAGTAGGACCCTTGCGCACACACACACTTGCTCCATCGATTGTTGGAAGCACCGGCGGAAGGATTCGTTTGGAATCTTCCGGAGTTCAGCCGTCGCATTCGATTTGATGCCCTCCATGGTTGCGAAACGCGTCCCCTTGAGGCCCATTTTCTGAGTAGGGAACAGCCAGAAGTCACTCGGAGCGAGATCCGGAGAGTATGGTGGTTGGATGATGACGGTAATGCTTTTCTCGGCGAGGAATTGCTGCACAACCAGCAGTGTGTGGCTCGGTGCGTTATCGTGATGCAGAAACCACCCACCCTGCCACTTGTCGCGCCGATTCCTCCGAACTGCTTCGCGCCACCTCTGCAGCACGTAGAAATGACCCGTAACAGTCTGTCCAGGCGGTACGAACTCATGGTGCACCACACCGTCGATGTCAAAGAATGCCATGAGCATCACTTTTTCCTTGGATCGGACGAGGCGTGATTTCTTTGGTCGGGGAGACGACGCTGTGTGCCACTCGGATGACTGCATCTTCGTCTCCGGGTCGTAGGCGAACACCCATGACCCATCACCAGTGACGAGCTTTGTGAGAAACATCGGGTCCTGAGTACTTTTCTCAAACAGATCTGCAGCGACCATCGTGCGACATTCCATCTGATCCGTAGTCAGCTGCCTCGGAACGAACTTCGCACTGACACGTCTCATCTTGAAATCTTGGGACAGAATCGCATGAATGGATCCGTGAGAGATACCAACTTCATACTCCAACTCCACGATGGTCATCCTGCGATCAGATAGAATCAGTTGTCGCACTTGTTCAATCGTTTCCACGGTTCTGGATGTCGAAGGCCTTCCGCTGCGCTGGTCATCCACCAACGTCTCCTGTCCATTCTTAAACCGGGAAAACCAGTCGTAAACTGCGAATTTCTTTAGTGCAGTATCACCGTAAACTTGCTGCAGGGTCGATAGCCTACAACTCTGATTCAATGTAGTGTCCAGTTTTGAGGTATGACATGACGTTCCCCAAACAGAGCTGGCATACTCAGCAACAGCAAAACAAGATGACAAAGCCGTGGCGCGTAGCACATGAGCATTGGCTCCCCATTTTGTAGTTTTTGGCTTCTATAAGATGCCGTTACGGGTGTTGACTTTAGCTTTAGTCTTTCCAATATGTTTTTGTAGGTGAGTGTACGGTCAAGTGTAACACCAAGATAAACTTGGTTGTGGCAGTGGGTTAGTTTATTTTCACCCCACTCTATTTGTAGCTGGTACTTTGATCCTGTTATTTAGATGAAAAAGGCAACCATCGCACCGTACGTCTGTCAGTGAACATCAATACGTCTGCTGAATTCACACATTAATGAGCTGCAGCGATATTCTCCGACGAACTACGATGTCGCTGCACGCAAATGAACAAAGTTTCAGATTTGTGCGTTTCACGATCTGAAAAGGCGAAATATGAGAACACCAAATATCATCCTGTAACTTTGTGAATTTTAATCGGAATATAGTGCAGCTTAAAACTATACATTATACGACTCTAAAAAGCTTTTTGAAGACTGGAAACGTACCACTTTCAGTTAAGGGACCAGTTCATTCTTACATTTTGAGAAGGGTCGGTAATGCAGCCGCGAACAAAACATTCGCATAATACGTTCTTGGGGGGAGGGGGGATGTGAAGCTAAATACTGATTGTATTTTATCGTTAACATGTAATTTATAAAGGAACATGAAGGGACTTTGTGGACACACTGTATTACAAGTTACCTCGTTACGTTTCTGATCCACTTCGTGCATGAGTTCTTTAGCTATCTCTTTAGTATTGTCCGTCACTTGTATCAACTGTTCATTAACCTGACAAACGAAGCTATCAAACCTATCCCTTACTCCGGAAAATTCCTTGTCAGCATTAACCTTGACATGCTTTATATTTGCATGCAGTCTGGCAGTTTCATTTTCGTGCCTGACAATTCTTTTCTCAACTTCTGATTTTGACGTTCAAACTTCGCGATTAGTTTCTCATTTTCTAGCCTTATATTTTCCTCAATATTCTGAATTTTCTCGCTCAATTCTCTATTGCCCTTCTCAGTCTTTTCACTCAACTCTCTATTGTTCCTTTCCATTTTCTCGCGTAACTTGGCTTGGCTATCTTTCAAATTACGGAACATATCAGCTATGATATCGCGCAAGGAATCCGAGCTTTCATGGTTCGTACTTTCGGAACATACGATCGTTTGATGAAGGCAAGGTCTCCCGTACTTTCCAACCCCACTGCGGTATTTACAAATTTATCGCTCGGCTCGACAGCCGTCTCCACTATTACAGAACTCCCGGCCGCCGGGCTACCTGCCTCACTAAAATGCTCGATTTCAGCGCATGATATTTCCGTTTTGGAATCACTGCCTTCGGACGTTTCGTAACCTCCACCAGCTGTTTTGCTTCGAAGCTGTTTTCCTGCCATTTTCAAGTCACTAACCTCGTGTTCGGGTGTGTGATGTTCCGCGGTCGTGAAGCTGTTGTCTGTGCGATAGGCGACTGGATGGCCCCCCGCCCAAGTCGCTGCCAGTGGTTACACGTCTTCAGTGCTGACCTCCTTCAATTCTTGGCTGCTACGAGTCCAGAAGTCGTTGCCGCCCAAAAACGCTGTAACCGTCCACTGGTCGTAACCCCGTGGAGCTGTAGATGCTCAGCTGCCTCTGCTCCCAGGGGCGATGTGGGCACCTCAGGATGTATGATTGCTGGGTCCTGACCTCGGGTCGTGTTAACGGCCTGGTTCGCATCAGCTAATGATAACACGGATTGATGCTTTTGTGGCAGTCACCACTATTTATTGACACGCGTTTGACACTTAGGTTAAATTTATAAAACAGCACAGTAAAGCTATTAATCACTTGCGTGCTCTTGGTAGCTTCGATACTTGAAGTTTAATTGTGGCTTGTGACGTTTCTAATCATGGTTCTAAATGTACCAAGTGAAAAGAGAAGTCTCGAAGTCCAAGTGCGAAGTGCCAAGTCGGAGTGAAATCTGTCACCCTCAACAAGGGGGTTAAGATACATTCACAAGAAGACAACACATTCCTGACTGGATAACAAACTTGTAACTCCAACCAAGAACGATATTACATTAATTACCATTGGTGTAAAGGTACGGGTTTGGCGTAAAGAACCACCCCTTTCTCATGAAAGAGAGAGATCTTACAACATCCGCACAACCTGGTTTCCCACGCTTTCTCTAAAATGTAACTCTCTGTTGGGTAATAAACGGAATTTAGCTAAAAGCAGGGTAATTTAGATGTGAAATCGAAAATTAAGTAAATCCCTAAATGTGTTTTCTGCTCACGTAGCGTAAGGGCTACTTTTAGCACTTAGAGACGGATGTCCACTCCCGTTCTAAGCATGTGGTGCTAGAATCCCAAGTAGTTGTCAATATAATAAACATCTTGAGATGTGTGATGCAGAAACACGTGTTAAATTGAACAAATCGTGTGGTGATTCATGTGAAGTACAAAACTGTTAATAAATTGATATAAAAGATACATCACCTTATAAAGAGAAAAGATTAAATATACAGAATTAATTAACTAAACTAAACTAAGATCGGATGAGTGGTTACACAGAAGACAGTCATCTTCCTACTTGCTACCATGAGATTCTGAAATTTCGCCAGATTGCATCTTCCTCTTCACTTCTTCAAATCATGCTTATACCCCCCTTCCCGCTCATCGCCTGCGTATGACATATCAATTGGATATTGGTTTCTGCATCTCCTCAGCAATATTCATACTCCTGATGCTGGCATTAATACTTTAAATTGGCTGTGACTACTTGCACACTGAGCAGTGTTTATCTTACAGGATGTTCAGAAAATTTATGATTATGATGATGATTATGTCTGCCCTGCTCATTGCCTGCTTATGCCATATCGATTAGATGAGGGTTTCTGCGTCTTCAATAACAGTTGTAAAAACGTTTGTGTTATTCCACTATTTCCACTGAAAATGCCACTGCTATGCATTTTTCAAAAGTAAAAAAAAAAACGTATCAGATAGTAGTGTATTACAACCCACAAGACCAACACCAAAACAGAATTTCATTATTTGTGCACATTTTAAATTGTGTAATTGTGGGGAAACAGACAGTGTGTATATTTTGCTTTTGAAATTAAAAAAGATATCCTACCTAATCCTGGAAAAGGAATGACGGTATTTAAGACTGTCATAACAAGTAAGTATTTCCATTACTTCAATTCATATTTTAAGAAAATCCTAGATTAAAACATGCTCTCTTCTTAGTCACAATTAATATTTCTATAAGTTAACAAGCACAACGTTGTTATCGTTGTATGCAATTCATACAACGATATGAATTGCATCGTGGAGAAAGGACGCGGACAAACATCCATGCATTTATGCCCATAAACGTTTGTCATGAATATGGCAGGCTGAATATCTGTCACTCAGACTGCACCATATCAGAGTTACAGTACACAAATATTAGCTAAGGCCTGAAGACAACAACAGCATTCTGAATTAATATAATACCGCCAAGGCTGTGAGTTTCCAGCACCACATATAAACCCTTTATGGATCATCAGTCTGCTCATTCTCCAAGGGTTCTCTTGGTGGATTGCGTATTACTAGAAAACTGAGCATCTTGTAACGCCTGTTTTATTCTGTAACACAGTGTCATAAATAAAAGCTGACCTAAAATATCTTTATTTATCAGTATGATTAAAATAATTTACAGTAATCCAAGTAATTTCCACACTGAACCTCATTTCATTAGCGAGGAATGGTGATCTGCTTCCCAGTCTGTGAGGCTGCTGTCAGTATGTACTAATATCACTTAAATGTAATCTGTTTAAAAGGTGATAGAGAGGGGGGGGAGACCAGGGCAGAACAGGGTATCAGCTTTATTTCGTCTGCAATGCGTTGCGATCTATCGGGACCGGGTGAATACCATTAGCATAGAGCACAGGGTTATGTCATGTCAGTCAGCGCCATTTTGTGCTTACAG